ACTCACACACTCACACACTCACACACTCACTCTCACTCACTCTCACACTCACTCACTCTCACACTCACTCTCACGCTCACTCTCACGCTCACTCTCACGCTCACTCTCACGCTCGCTCGCTCTCACGCTCTCACGCTCACTCGCTCACTCTCACACTCACTCTCACACTCACTCACTCACTCACTCACTCACTCACTCTCGCTCCGTATAATGACAGCAGACCCTTCTCAGCCGCAACAGACGCAACCCGACAACTACCAACAATCAACTATCGTGCCGATTAATCGGCAAAACCGATACATCGGTGGAGCTCTAGTAAAGACCCATGACTCGCTAACCTGCCAGAGCAGCTCGCTGAGGACCGTGGAGGAGAACTGTGGGTTCTCCCAGCAGCAGAAGCGCAGCAGCTTCCCCGTCTCCTCAGAATTGCTGCAGTCCTCGATGATCTTCTTCACGTAGCTGGTGCGCACAAACAGGATTTCGGTCACCAGCTGCTGCAGGGGCATGATGGGAGCCGTGAGGCTGGGGTCACCGTATGGATTGGCCAGAGGTGGGTTACCTGAGAGAGGAGAGTGAGACCCTCAGAGCCTTCGTTTGATGTAGGGCTGCCCCCTAATAGTCGACGAGAAGAGGCTTAGTCCTTCAAAATTTGATTAGACGCTTAGTCACAGGGAAAAAAAAAATCACAGAAAGTGGCGAAGGCACGTAGTTGGTGACGGACAGATTATTAACAGCTGGTCTGTGTGGTTTTGTTCATCAACCTCAAATGTGGCTTATCATCTAAAACCTGTGCCACGCTAGTGTATTTCACTAGTGTATACTCACTAGTGTATTTCATTTTTATTATTTTAAATCAGTGCTATTGGTCATGGTTATGTCTGTTTTACAAATATTTAACCAATGAAAAGCATTCAAAAGAGTTTGTGACTACACCTTGTAACGCCATTGGATCCTCAAACTGTCAGTCAAACCTCATAACTCCACCCGCTTCATTCAGATTAAAGCGCCGCAACGCACAGTTTGAAGACGGATGTCTATTTCTTCACAATGAAAGGGTAAATAAAGAAATGATGGGGAATAATAAGTACAGTGCTTCCTTTACTCAAGAAACGCTGTCTATAAAGGCTAATGTTTGTGTGTGTTTGAAGAGCAGAGTCTTAGCATTTGCGGTCTAACTGTAGCCAATACACTTTTGTATGTTTTAAATGTTATTTATATCATGAGATTTTGGCCAAATGTATTAAACAACCAGAGAAACTGAGCGCCCATATAGCTACAATAAACTTTACAACCTGCAAATTGATGAAAACGTAATGCGATTAATTTACTGCCTCAGATGCAGCTGTTCTAATCACGGACAAAACACAGATCTCCGTCATGTCATGATCATATACAAAGCCAAAATACCAACTCTGATGATGCAATGTTTAATTATTGGGGAAAAAAACTTTTCCCCTTTCTACCTGTTTTTTATTTATTTTATTTTTTTAATGCTTGGTGTGCCATGGGATTTTTTACATATCAAAACTGTGCCGCGGCAGAAAAAAAGGTTGGGAAACACTAATCTAAAACATGTGAGTAGTAGCCTAAACCTAGAAAAATGTGTGCTATTCAACAGCAGCGTGCTCACTGCATGACAGATGGAGGCGCCGGTGCGGTTACTTGCATTTAACTTAAAACGCTCCATCATTTTTGCTCATACAGATCAGAATAATACCATCTTTCGAATCTCTGAAAGGTCTACTTTTATTTGTGTGCACTCACAATATCAACACAATGTTGTGCTTCTGTAAAATAATGAAAGCAAACCGGGCGCACTTTCTGCCGTCTCGGTCTCTGTGAACTTGAGCGCGTCAAAAAACTGCCAAAAGCACTCTGTGCTTGCCTCACAGACATAAAAAATATCTCTACATCAAGCAACAAGTCTATTTTTAAATAAACCAATTCAAATGGAAAACAAATATTTTCAGATTACGCGATCCGTATGAAACGTGCACATGCACAGTGGAGATGACGAGTCGGTGCAGCCGAGAATACAGTAAACACTAGTTTATCAATGAATTATGATGATGTCAAGGCAGTCTTCTTGCTGTTTTTTTCCCTGAAGCATTCATAATCATTACTTCTGCATGCACTGTTGCAAGCTTATGCGTGCGCTTGAGCGCTGATAGGCTACAGGCAATTAAAGGCTCATTATTATGATTTATTGATGGTTTATTAATATAGACGTGCGATTGCTTCAAATGAAGGACTATTAGTCGATCAGAAAAATCTTTATTCGAGGGACGGCAGCATAGTTAACACTCACCGTTAATGGAGGACTGCATGCGCGGCGACACGTCACAGCAGCGCACCAACTGCGAAACCACCGCGTAGAGTTTGCCGAGCTCTGCGTACTGATACTTGATGGGGGGCCCGAGACCCTCGTCCAGCGCCACCAGCATGAACGTGGCTGGAACGCTCAGCTTCAACAGCTGTGTCTTTTCTGCCAGACCTGCAGCAGACGGACAGCATCCTTCTGACATTCTACATCCACATAAACCTGTCGAGACTTACGCGAGCCGGCTGAGCACTTACCCAGATTGGCGTACATGACGAAGAGGTTGAAGTACTGCTGGAGGTGACGGCCGTGCTCGGACACTTCTCTTCTCAGTAAGTTCAGCACCGAATGCAACAGATGGTCACTCAGGGTCACACTGTCACAGGCCTGCTCACAAATAGTAGTAGTAGGATATTTCTGTTTAATTCCATGTCAGCATCTTAGGCTGTTTTCATGGCAAAAACAATAAAAAAAATACAAGTATAACAAATACAATAAAAACCAGCAAACAAAGAAACACGAGTTATATTACACAAGATTTTTTACATTAACATATGCCTGCTCACAAATCACAGTAGGGCTATCACTAACCATTATTTTGGTAATCGAGTAATCTGACGATTATTTATTGACGATAATAATTTTTTTGTAGTAATAAAAATAGACCTATGCGAACAATAGCCTTTAAAATGACTTAAAATACATATATAATAGTAATGAGGCAATAATAATTAGCTCAAATAAAGCATCAAAAGCAAGTAATCATATGGTTTTATTGAACAAAACTGTTAAAATACAAAATGTATTATAAACAATAGAGCTAATGTACGGTACACATTACAACAAATGCCTGCACGATTGTTTTAACACTTTACTACGGGATCTAATCCTTGTTAATATCGACTAAAAAACATTTAATTCAAATCTCCACTTAATCTTTAGTATTTGGCCATTTCTTTAGGACAGAAATGCTACAGCCACTGTAATTTCTTGATTATGTGGACAACAGAACGTGTAAACTCAGAGCGAGGGTTTGAGCTTTTGTTTTGAAATCGCGATGAACTGAAAGATATTGATGTATTCTCCTGTGTTTGCGTAGGTTTATAAATGATTTACTTTACAAATCTGAAATAGCGCACGTTGCGTTCCCAGATAAACATTATAATAAACCCAAACTCACAGCTATATGCAGAGATGAGTTAGAGACGCTCCACACATGTGAATGATTAGAGTTTGTGCGGAGCAGCGTTTACTGTGAGTCGCTCTGACGCGCACATACATAACCTACACGCATGTAAATAATTAAAGCACATATATTACACCTGCATCGCATGTATTTAACTGAATCGTAGCATTTGAGAATTCACAATAACATTATGCTTTATAATGATTTTTAAATGGGTTTAATATATCATGCAGCCTATTCTCGTCTGTGGAATGCGCCACTTCCGGTATTTTGCCGGTTACTCGACACAGTTATGTAGCAGTTATTCATCGCTCACCTGTGTGGACGAGCCGGGCGAGGTGACCGGAGAAGGGCAGGGTCCGTCCTGCAGGGAAAAGTGTGCGATGAACACCATCAGTTTGGCAAAAGCTCCGCGCACCTCCGCACTCGGACACTCCAGCAGGTACTCGGAGAAGCGCGTGGGGAAGGCAAAGAGGACGTTGTGTGCAAACCAGCTGCGGACGTTCTTGCTGTGACGCAATAGGATGCACAGGGCATCATACCTGAAAGAAAAACAAGTCCATTCCGTGACGAGGAGACGAGTCAATCAGCACTACTGGCCCCGTCACCAGTCCAAACGCTTGGACACACCGACTGAGTTTATGTTCCTCATCATCTTAAAAACCATTTAACTAAAATAAACAAAATCAGTTTTGTTGGGCCACATAGTTTCTCCTTCAATAGTGCTTAATGTTGGTGGAGTAAATGATTCCATGTGAGCTGGAATTGGACAAAGGCTGGCCACTTTAGTCATTTAGTATGTCCCTTAATTTCATGACTTTACTATTATTCTAAAACGAGTAGATTCATCTAGTAGTGCAGTTAAAACACTCACCAGTCACTAGCAGGGCCTCGGACGACTTTCTTTGTGTGGAATCCGGTGCTGAACAGAAACCTAGCAGCAAGCTGTATACTAATCATCGCTATTTCTTCAGCTTCTGGTAAAAGATGATCTTGACCTAGAAAGACCAGAGAAGAGGAGCATAAGTTCACTTCCAGAATAAAACTTTCCTGATAATTTACTCACCCCCATGTCATCCTACATGTTCAAGTCTTTCTTTCTTCAGTCGCAAAGAAATTAAATTTTTTGAGGAAAACATTCCAGGATTTTTCTCCATATAGTGGACTTCAATGGGAGCCAGTGGGTTGAAGGTCCAAATTGCAGTTTCAATGCAGCTTCATTGGGCTCTACCCAATTCCAGCTGAAGAATAAGGGTCTTATCTAGCGAAACGATCAGTCATTTTCTAAAAAATGTAATTGTATGTACTTTTTAAGCACAAATGCTTGTCTTGTACTACCTCAACATTACATAGTCATGTTGGAAATGTCACATGTGACTAGGGCTGGACGATATGACAACATCAAAACCTTGATTAATTAAATGTTTTACCTTGATTACGATTAATGAATAATTATTTTTATTTATTTATTTATATTTTGCCCTCATAGTTATAAATATGAGTCATGATCACTGTTGCATGTGATCTTCCTCTCAGGATCTTCCTGTCCTGTCACTCTATGTCGAGGAATAAGAGTCTTATCTAATGAAACCATCGGCCATTTTCTGGAAAAATTTATATTTATACGCTTTTAACCACAAATGCTCGGCTAGCGTTAGCTCTGCGATGCGTGTCTTTATTAGCTGATGTTGGAAAGGTCACACGCGGCTAGTTCTTTGTCTTTGTACTTCGTTTACCATCTCATTTTCTCCTCCAACTTTAAAATCATCCGACATCGTTGTTTTATTGTCATTGATGTTTGCTTTGTAAACACTGGGTCGGTGCTTCCGCCTGCGTCACGCGTGACTTTTCCAACATCAGCTAATAAAGACACGCATCGCAGAGCTAGATCAAGCCAAGCATTATGTGGTTAAAAAGTGTATAAATATAATTGTTTTTCAGAAAATGACAGATGGTTTCATTAGATAAGACCCTTATTCCTCGGCTGGGGTCGTGTAGAGCTCTTTGATTGAAACTGCATTTTAGACGTTCAACTCACTGGCCACCATTGAAGTCCACTATATGGAGAAAAATCCTGGAATGTTTTCCTCAAAAAATGTAATTTCTTTGCGACTAAAGAAAGAAAGACATGAACGTCTTGGATGACATGGGGGTGAGTAAATTCTCAGGAAATGTTTATTCTGGAAGTGAACTTATCCTTCAACACAAAACACCAGCAGAAGGCGTTTACGGATTGCTGGACCGTCCGGCGACGGATATAATGCATCTTGAAAACACCACTCACCTGGAGGAGGGTTCAGGTAGACGCTGTTGCAGGTCAGCAGTTTCTTAACGAACTGAAAGTACTCGAGGCTGTACTGCATGCGGCTGTGCATGAACTGCACGTTCTGTTTGCGAACGCTGGCCTCGATGGCCAAGGGCATTTTAGGCTGGTTCGTCCGGGGCGCGAGCGTCAGCTCGGAGATGTACTTCAGCAGCTCTCCGTCGCCCCCTGCTGCGTCCATGCGCTCGTAGAACAGAATGTAGGCGTTCCACCAGCGCTTCTGCCGCCGGTACGACATGCGCTTCATCATGTGGTCGAACACCTCACCCATGTACTCTCCACCGAAGCACTGGTTCTTCATCTCCTCGTCATCGTCCATCTTACACTCCGTCACGTCGCCGTCGTCAAACTTGTACCAGCGGTCCTTCAGTCCGTCGCTGCCATTACAGTGCCGCTGCATGATATAAGAGTAGTAGTGTCCGCCGCTGGCCTGCCCCGAGTGCACCAGCACACCCACGAGCCGATAGCGGGAGCTGCTGTTCGGATCAGAGTTCTCAGCGATGACCTGGCTCTCCGGCGGAACCTCGTCACCCTCCAGCTTCGCCACGCCTGCCACCGTGTAGGGCTCCATGTCCAGCTCACGAGGGAACTCGAAGTAATCGTTGAACTTAATCGCACACTCACGCTCCCAGTCGTAATCGAAGCGCTTCAGCTGGATGGCTAACACCGGCGGGAGCTTCTTTATAAGGAGACGCTTCACCGTGTCCACCTGACGGCAAACCAGAGCAAAGCTCACCAGTCTGCACAACTTCAATCAGACCGGATTTAGGGAACACGTCTCACCTTTTTGTTGCACTTCTCACAGTGGTACGCATTGGCTCCTTCGAGAAGATCCCCTTTGACGTACTGTTCTAAAGAGTCAAGGAGGTTTTGGTGGTTTCTGATGTCTACATTCAGTGTTGTGAAGGACTCCTCACACTCATATCTATGAAGACACACACAACACGCGTATATGGATTAGGGGTGTTGAAATTAATCGTGTCTACGATGCATCGCGATGCGGACGATTCAGCATTGATGCAGTAATAGACCATAATCTATTATAGCCTTCTGACGTCATTCGCATACGCGCTTGTTAAATCTGAGCTTGGTTTTTCCCGCATATGGCACGTGTGTGCGCTGGAGAGAATCGCGGCAGCTTCATTGCACAGGATCTGTGCTGTGAGACACGTGTGCATTGCTGTGTTTGCTTCCACTCGCAGTTACTTTCAGTGTTTTACTGTAGATATGCTTTCATTTCTGTCGTTTGGAGGGCAGTACGTATTAGATGCACAAACTCACGTACTGACAGACTTTCACTGCGCTTTGTGTGTGTTTGTCCTGAAGCTCGATCGCGGCTGGGTTAAACACACTTGCGTCTCTGAATACTTTAATGATGGGAACTTGATGTAAACACTGAGTTATGTTTTCAGAACAGCACAAAACATCTGATATGTGGAAGCAGATCTGTGCATTAGTGTGAATGCAGTCTATTAAAGCTGCCACTGTCTGTGATCTCATCAGTAATAATCAAACAGCAATAATGCTGAGGGAAAAAGAAAAATCTTTAACTACGATTGTTTTAGTGGTGTGCGATATTGACAAAAAATGATATCTCGACATTTTCTGGGATTTTATTGACAACGATAATTAGACGATATTGTGCTGATATCTTAAGGACTGTCGTGGACAGCTGACTCCTAAAGTTTTTGATATTCTTCATATTCTGTGTGATGGTGATAGAAATTAATCTTTTTCAACAAGTTTTAATTGATTTTTACCTTTTATGGGCATTTTTCTACCTTTATAAAGCCATTTTTTTCTAAATGTGTACATCATCTTTTGAGTCAATACATTTTATTAATTTTATTATATCTCATATTTAATTAGTCAATTAGAATAATAAGACATTTGAGCTGTTACCATACAAATGAAATCAGTATCAACTAAATTAATCTTTGCAATGCAGAGGAAACACAGAAGCTGCGTCTGAAGAGGCATTTAGATGCATTTACACACGGTTTAATGCAGCTCAGAGGAACATGAATGCTTTAACCTGCAGTTACAAATGCATAAATAATATTTTGATATTTTAAACACAGAATGTTGAATACTGATATTTGAAATTATTTACAAAATGAAAAGATACTTTAAATGTGAAATTAAAACCGCCAGTAGATGGCAGCAAGTCACTGTTAATAAGTGAGTCACTGCGATTCGATTGAACCGAATAATTTAAATGGTTGATTCATTCAGGAACGAATCACCGTCATGTTGCTCAGAGACACAAAACAGCGCTGTGGCTTTGTATGGAATTATTTTTGTTGGCGAAATAGAGCAAAAACAGGCAATATGGTGTCTAAAACTTAAGTCTCTTAATTAACATCTTGTTTATTGAACTTATTTTTTTATTTAAAAAAATCAATATCACATTTGTAATCATGCAGATTTTTGGAGAAAAAAAAAACGGCACTCTTCGTGTGACTATATATGACTATAACTATATGAAATTATACGAATATATACTTTTTCTGCCCCCATGTCTTGAATTTGTGATCATTCTGAATGTATTTTAATAGACTGAATCATGCACACTAGTCTAACCTACTAGACTTCATCATGTAATGCAAGCGTGCACTCTGTAGGCGTGTTTTGTTTGTTTTTTGCGATATACTCGATAATGTCATATCGCACATCGTTAAAACAACACTTACAATATTACCGCAGACAATATACATCGCACACCCCTAGATTGTCTGTAAACTTTTGGATTCTTAGAACACTCTCAGATACTGAAAGTACATTTTGTTAATCACTTGTAATTGTCTTTTCCCCCTTTATTACTTTATATTGGCTTGTAGGTTTTGAAGCTATATTTAGTTGGTTAAATTCTTAACAATTGTTCTGATTTATTGTTAATTTGTAATTATTTTAAAAAGTAGACTGCTTGTATAATTTAATAGAAATACACAAAATAAATCTGATATAAAATGAATATGAAAATGTAGCCATGTGCCGTAATATTGAAAATTGATGATGCGATACATTGTGATATCGAATCGTTGACATGATAATCGAATTGAATCGTGAAACCAGTGACGATTACTCGATTCAAATACACTTCAACATCCTCAGAATGACTGAGCAGTCCTTAACTCACCTGTGAGGACAACCCTGACAGATCTTCTGGTCTGCAAACGAGCCGCCCAAGATCCTGCTGAGCATGCTGGGATGGCCGAGGGCTTTCAGTGCTTCATCCAGACTGTCCACCAGGGAATTGAAGAACTCCAGCGCGTCGTGCTGCTCTCTCAGATTCACCGGCTCCCCCCATAACCTGCGGGAACGTTTCACACGCAGTCGTCTTACTTCACAGGGATCAATAAAAATTAGTTCAAATAAACTATCAAAAGCAAGTAATCATATTGTTTTATTGAACAAAACTGTTAAAATACATAATGTATTATAAACGATAGAGCTAATTTACATTACGCATTGTTACGCATTGTTTTACACTTTATTGCGCGATCTAATCCTTGTTTAATATTGACTAAACAACATCAGAGCGAGGGTTTGAGCTTTTATTCTGAAATTGCGATGAACAGTTAGCATATTGAGAAAGATATTGATGTATTCTCCTGTGTTTGCGTAGGTTTATAAATGATTTACTTTACAAATCTGAAATAGCGCACATTACGTTCCCAGATAAACATTATAATAAACCCAAACTCACAGCTATATGCAGAGATGAGTTAGAGACGCTCCACACATGTGAATGATTAGAGTTTGTGCGGAGCAGCGTTTACTGTGAACGGAGCCGCTACATGCATGTAAATAATTAAAGCACATATTAAACCTGCATCGCATATATTTATTTAACTGAATCGTAGTGTTTGTGAATTCACAATAGCATTATGCTTTTATTTGTCTCGTTCGTGGAATGCACCACTTCCGTCCAGTATTTTGCCGGTTACTCGACACAGGGAGGATTTTTTAAAAACGACACTTACACAAAACAACATTTACAGTTGTCTCTGGATATTGAGCTTAGAAACGGAGAGATTTAGACTTCCCCACAAATTATACACAAAATCTGACTGGCTGTGGCTGATGCACTATGTTATTTCAAAGAAAAGCACATGCATTCACGGCTGACTGTACCTGAACTGTTTCCAGAAGCCTCTGGGCACGTAGTACTGCAGACGGGACGCGGCGAGGTGACCGAAGATGACCTGCAGACGCCGCAGCACTCCGATGTTGTACTCCTTACGGTCCTCGGCCTTATTGAGAGAGGGCTTGTCATCAAACTGCTGATGATAACTGAACACATCATCCCTGGGGTCCACATTAGGGGTCGACCGATATGTGTTTTTCAAGGCCGATGCCGATACCGATTAGTACAGATCAAGTAGACCGATAACCGATATTTTGAACCGATATATATGTCTGGTGTAAAAATGAAAATGAATGTCAAAATTAAGAATAACAAGGGCTCTGACAAAAACTGCCTTCCCTGGTGTTGGTTGAGTGTAGTACTCCCACAGTAAACTCTTTATTTTAAAGAGTTAAACTCTTTATTTTTTGGCAAACCTTCTGATCAATAATTCTGATAAAAAATTAGCCTTCCTAACATGAGGTGAAGTGATTTACAGGGGTGCTTTAGGCCACAGAGTGGTGAGTTCTGACAGGCTGCATCAGAGCCAAATAGCGCGTTTCAAAATTAAGTTATTTTATCGGCGAATCGGTTTTGAAAATGACCGATACCGATAATCATAAAAATGCTTGATATCGGTCGACCCCTAGTCCACATTACTCTGCAGCACAACGATGCACATTCAGACGTGTCCGAACCGACTGCATCTCTGCGCTGAGGGTACGTTTGGGTATCGTTTTAATTTGATCAATTCCAATTCCGATAACGATTCTGCTTATCGATTCCGATTCTTATCGATTCCCGGTTTCTGCTTATCGATTCCAATGTGGTTAAAAAAAAAGTCAAACATTTAGATATCAAACATATTTATTCTGTCTCTTTTTGAAAAAAAACTTTTAATTGCTGCTGAATATCATGAACAAAAATCAGCTGGCTGCATAAAAACTGGACTCGATTAAGAGCTGTTTGTGTGCAAAATAGAGCCGAACGATTCTGGATAAATTGAGACTTTTTTTTTTTTTATGGAGATTGTAGTTCTCTCACAATTCTGAAGAAAAAATATTAGACAACTAAACAAAATCTGATGGAATTTCTGAATGGAATGATTCAATGACTCACTCGAGATTCACTTGATTCATTACTGGATGATTCAGTGTTTTTGAATGAATGATTCAAAGACAAATACATTTTTAACAACCCCTTTTCACAAACTAAAACAGGAATTGATGGGTGGAATTGAAATAAAGCAATAAGCCCCAAGAAGCCGTGGTTTACAGTGAATTTATAACAGCTAAGTTGTTAGGTGATTAGGTTATTCCATATACGTAGTAAGGTTTCACAAAATAAAACAGAGCAAATAAAGTGTAATGATATTAATAAAAACAGTATTCTTCCACCAAACAATGTAGTTCCTCAAACAGTTGTGGTTGCTACAAAGTGGTTGCCGATCAACACACAAACGTAAACAAAGGTGTATGTTACTTTGTAGAGTCATTTACAACAGCTTCGAACGCGGCTCAGCCAATCAGAATCAAGGACCGGAACTGTCCGTTTTAGAATTAAAATTTTACACCAAGCATCCGACTCTGGAATTGGAATTGATTTTCGATTCCCAACCCTAGCTAAGGGGTTTCTGTACGGTTGAGCGACACGTGTGTGCGTTCTTTACCTCGTTGTCCTGCTTTTCGTCTCTGGACGTGTCGTCGTCGTCGATGTCGCTGCCAGTGCCTTCGATGGCCAGGATGGCGTTGCGGATGGGCGGGATCATGTAAAGCTGCTGGATCACGGAGTTCATGTAGCACGTGGCTCCTGCGTTCTTCAGACCCACGAAGCCTTTGTTCGGCCGCGGCCCCACCGGAGGCAGATACTCCCACTCTGTAAGCGCCTCGCAACCTGAGACCAGATGCAGGAGTTTAAAACGCCTCTTGTTCATGAAACAGGAGCAGAATGCACTTCTATAAAAGTTGCATTCGATTCAATTTATAAAGGATGTTTTTCAGATGCTTTGTTAATGAGGCTCATTGATACACTAAAAGCAAACAGGCCTATAAACAAGCAATATAAAACCATCTGGTTCCATTAGGATCAAACCACAGGTCTGTGTTTAATACGCAGGCAAAGCCCTTCACGTCAGCTGGTTTATCTGAAATGCAGTCAGTACCTAGATAGTACATGTCTGTGAGCGTGTTGACGATCTGCTTGAGGTTCCGCACGCAGCCGACAGAGAGCGCCACCAGCAGCTCGAAGCCGGCGTTTATAGACGCAGGACTGCTGCACACCGGTATAGCCTGCTCCGCCGGGAACTCGCCGCTCTTCACGAACTGCAGAAACACGTTAGACGCCGGGAAGATGAAGTCATCGGTCAGCTCCTGTGAGAGACACAGACAGATACAAATCAAGTGCACTTCGCTTTCACAACATATCTGTACAAACTAGGACTGTCAGTCGATTAACATTTTTAATCTAATTAATTACATCATGTGTCGATTAATTAATAGCAAATTAAATTTGGCTGTGAAATTACCCACGAAAGATCGTTTAAAGCCATTATTGTGTTAAATGAGAGAGGATCAAGTAGACATTACAAATAGTAGCTTTAGAAATAAATATTATTTGATTCAACAAAATTTATTACACATAAATGTTTAGGCTAACATAAACTTTGGAAGATAAAAGAAGATAACTAGGGAAACATCTCAGTATTTTATGTTCATACAATGAAAGTCACTGGTAACCAAAACAGCTCTGTTACAAACAGTCTTCAAAATACCTTTTCTTATGTTGTGCAAAAGGAAGTCATACAGGTTTGAAATGAAATGAGGGTAATTGATGAAAACTATCCCTGTAAGGTTTTTTTTTAAATGAAATGATACTCTAAATAAGAAACTAAATCTGCCAGCAGGTGGCGGTAAATGTGTTTTGAGTCATTCATTCATTCGATTCGTTCGAACAAAGTAAATGGCTCTCTCTATGAATGGGTTTTTGAATCATTGATTCACACGATTCATTCAAAACACAGATTCATTCAGAAACCAAACACCGCTGTGTTGCTCGGAGACACACAACAATTCTGCTCTGGCTTTAAAGGTAATAATTTCTCTGCAAAATTGAGCAAAAACAGACAATATTGTGTTTAACATATAACACAAAATTAACTTCTTATTTACTGAACTGTTGTACAAAATCACATTTAAACTTGTGATATTCAGGACAAAAACAGCACTCGTCTGATATTGCTCTCACTGCTGGTGTGATATCGCTTATCGTATGATATAAATATGAGACAAAAACTCATTCAGGGGCATTTTTTGCCCCTATATCTTGAATTTTAGGTCATAACTGCATTTATGGAGTTGTTGCCCTGCATTACATTTGTGACCCAAGACCACAAAACCAGTCATAAGGGTCAATTTCTCGAAACTGAGATGTATACATCATCAGAAAGCTGAATAAATAATCTTTCCATTGATGTATGGTTTGTTAGGATAGGACAATATTTGGCTGAGATACAACTATTTGAAAATCTGGAATCTGAGGGTGCAAAAAAATCTAAATATTGAGAAAATCATCTTTAAAGTTGTCCAAATGAAGTTCTTAGCAATGCATATTACTAATCAAACATTAAGTTTTGATATATTTACGGTAGGAAATTTACTAAATATCTTCATGGAACATGATCTTTACTTAATATCCTAATGATTTTTGGCATAAAAGAAACATGTATAATTTTGACCCATACAATGTATTGTTGGCTATTGCTACAAATATACCCCAGCAACTTAAGACTGCTTTTGTGCTGCAGGGTCATATTTATCAACAGTCAACTGTATGAAATGTAACGACGTACTGGTCTGGGGGCGGGGCCAGCGCGTTAACTGCATAAAATTTTAATTGCGTTATTTTTTCATAACGAATTAATTAAGTTAACACGTTAAACTGACAGCCCTAGTATAAACATAAATCAAAGCATAGACCGTTCACCTTAATCAGATTAGCGCCTCCTTTCTCACAGCCGATGTAGAACTTTTTCTCCGGGGTCTGAAAGGCCAGCAGCTCTTTGGTGACCCCCAGATGACCCTCTAGAATGGTCTCTTCCACACCCGTCTCTCCGCTCCTCTTCACCTCATCCTGAACGTCCATGAAAACCAGAGGAAAGAGAATTAAAGCCATCGCTCCGTCCTGTTCCTCGTGCATGGAGTGGAAGCGCTGTGGACTCACCCGGATCCTCTTGAGCCAGTCGATCTCGTTGTTCAGCAGCACCTCGGCGTTGGGAAGGTTTATGTTGCTGTTGTAGGCGTAGTTGAGTAAGTGGCGCAAGAGCGTGAAGTAATCGCCAGCGTGCTTCGCTCTTTCCTTCGCCGTACTCTGAAAGAGCAGCAAACAGTTATCACTCGACTGGCGTCTAGATCACTCAAACGCGAGCGCTGTGATGCTGTACTCACTCCCAGAACAGTGAAGAGGAGGGTGATGAAGAACAGGAGGGGTCTGTGTCCCATACAGCACCTGGTGGCCATGAGGAAGAACTGCTCCTGTGCCATCTGACGCACAGCTCTGAAAACAAACAAACAGAGGCAGGCTCTTCACTTTTCTCATGCATAGCATTAGATGTCATGATAAACAGCCTCAGCTTCTTTAACCCCTTCAGCTCACTGGTCTATTAGGCGTCCACTGTAAGTACAGTTACTGTAAATGCATCTCAACAGAAGTGCACTGCTCCTGTAAGTACGTACTTGCTCTGGCAGTGCAGCAGCAGGTCGATGATGAAGGTCTGCCAGGCTTTCTCTTTGCTGAGCGTGTCGAGGGCCGTAGGGAGCAGAGCAAAACACAAGGTCATGACCTCCAGCGCCTCACAGCACACCTGCTCGTCTTCAGCGTCCGGCTCGTTACCTGCGTTAGTCTGCAGAACGACAGATGCACGCTTAAACGAGGGATAAAACAGTGGTGAGTGCAGATGAACCCAGGGCCTCCGCGAGTCCTTAAAAAGTCTTACATTTAGTTGCATCAAATATAAGGCCATAAACCCCTGCTTTCACAGACAAGGCTTAAGCCTAGTCCCAGACTAAAATGTAAATTTGAGCGGTGTCAACTTGCACTTGTCTGATCTTAAAATATATCAGTGCCTTTGTTTTGTCTCAAGATGAACACCAGTAATGTGTTTTTTAAGGAAATGTGAAGCTTATCATTTTATAAAACTTTTTGTTTTTGTGAAAACTTGTATCTGAACTGTAAATCATGCTTTTTACATAGACATTGTTACCATAGACATTGCCCTACCCCGCTCTCATACGGTATTAATTTAATTTGTGCAGGTCTTAAAAAGTCTTAAATTTGAAGCTAAAAATCCTGCAGAAACAATGAACATGCCTTCTCGTAGATCTGGCTGATCTCTTCGTTCGAGCTGAAGACCAGATGCACCATCCCACAAACGCAAGCCCAGACGATCTTCTGCACGGCGCGGATCACACAGATATCCGGGATGTACTTTGAGGCCTGGAAGAAGTTCTGCACAATGACGGAAAGCAACACAATTAGGAATATCAGAGTGAAGTAGGCCTCACACTGCGACTGTAAAGCGGTGCAGGTCAGGAACCTCGTCAGAGATCTGCTGGGCCAGCCGGAGGGACACGCTGCGCAGCATGCACTCGGAGGCGGGATTGGGAATGCTCTGGAGAGCGTTCTGCAGCACCAGAGCCTGTTCATGGGTCGCCTGATTTATCTGGAGCACAAACACAGTCACATCACAATGCGAAGAAATATAACCAAGTCTCAGATTTAGGGATGTAACCATAATATTAATCTCGTGATATTGCGATAGCAAAACTGTCTCGATATTATCGTGGTCACATGACGGTATGAAACGATTAATCGCATCCAAAATAAAAGCTTTTGTTTACATAATATGTATGTGTGTGTGCCGTGTATATTTATTATGTATATATAAATACACACACATGCAAGTATATATTTAGAAAATATTTACATGTATATATTTATATTCATATAATTTAATTTATATATAAATATATTTAATATACTAACATAACATATTTTTCTTAAATATATACATGCATGTGTGTCTATTTATATATATGTAATAAATATACACAGCTCACACACATACATATTATCTAAACAACTTTTATTTTGGATGCGATTAATCGTTTGACAGCACTCTTTAAAATATATTTTAACTTCTTATTCTGACATAAAAGGTGTTTAAAGTTGTGTTTTGGGTCATTATGCTTTGGCACAGTATCTGTCAAACAAACTCAGACCGAAAGCATCAAGTCTGTTTGCGCTGCGTGTTTCAAAGCGAAGCTGCACTTGGTTCAGACGATCAGCTCGTGATCCGGTGTTTTCCTCGTCTCAGAACGACTCGTTCACACTGAATGAATGCAGTCCACTCCTTTATTTCACGTGCTGTGAGTTTAGTTAGGCTTTATTTTCACGGCAGATGATTACAGCGTTTCACTAGATTTGCTCTACTGCCGTTTCCGTCAGAATAAAAGCGTAAAAGTGCAGCATATGAATAGCTGACAGCTAGCGGTTTAAATGAGTCCAAATTCAAAATATGTTTCAAGTGTAGAAATTAGGAAAGAAGTATTGTAATTTCCCTACTGTAGTGTAAAGCAAAAATAATATACTTATAAAATATTCATTTTCATTTATTTTACAGTGCAACTGTTTACAATTTATGGTTATTACTGTCATTGTTGTTATTATTATTATTATATTCTAATTTGTTTGGCTTCCTAAAACCCCCGTGTGAATGTAGGTTAGACTGAGACAGAATATATCACAAATAAAAAGAGGGTTGAGTCTCCTGTAAAGTTCAGGTTCAAGTCAATTCACTGAATTTCTCTGATTTAAGTTTTCTTAGTTAAGAACATGGGTTGCAGCTCTTCATTTTGAACTCTCAAAGAGCATTAGATAGAAGAATTTAACTTTAAAATGTACAAAACTTTGTAAAAAAAGTATTTTACTTGGAATATTGCAATAAATATCGTACCGTGGACTTCACACTGAGATATTATGGTATGGTGAGATGTTGCTATGGTTACATCCCTACTGAAGTCTGGTGTTAAGGCGAGGCGCACCGGAGACGCGGGGCTGGTTCCCTCCACCAGCGGCTGGCAGGCCTCCGCCACGGCCTTCACGTGTCCGAACCCCACGCCGGTCAGCAGGAGCTTGCTGATCTTCAGGGCGTTCAGGTAAGCGCCGCGCCGCGTCTCCATGTCCGCACGGGGAAGGAAGTTGTTCCTGGTGAGCATGCCCAGAGCCAGAGGCAGACCGCTGCTCTTCAGGAAGTTGCACTGGAAGCCACTGGCGTCGTCTCCCAGAGTTCCACTGGCTGGCATCAGCAGCGCATACACCACCTGACACCACACAAACCACACCTCAATGCTGCAGGACAACATCTCATTGGGAATTTCCTGATAAAAGTTGTGATTGAGATTTTTTTTTAAATCTGTGATTATATATCAGTATAATATATAATAATTATTTAACAGATAATATACAACTACTCTTACTACTAATTATTATTATTATTACAACTAAACAAAAGCATAACATTTACTACATGAAATAATTACAATATTATTAATATTTCTACTCTATTAGTTATTGTTAATATTGTTAATACTACTACACAAAACAAAAAAAAAATAAATAAATAAATAAAATATATAT